CCTCCAGAAGGGCTTTTATAGGCCGTATTTCAGATGGTTTTTGGAGGAGCTCTCTTAAAGTTGCTAAAAATCATACATACATACATTTGAAATATTTGCTTAAGGTTCATATCTAATATGTGTTATTGCAACTTAAAATGTTTATTGAAATTCATTTGTAATGGCAAATATAAATTTTTGCAATAGCGTAAATTGTAGGCCTCTTAGAACAGCTTTACTTAAGAAGGCCTAACTAAATTATCTTCGGGGATATTATTGAATTGCAGTGATTAGTTCCGTTCAATTAAATAAAAGTATTGGTAAAATGTATTGCAAGCAGTGCGGATCATATATGTATGTACAAGTAAATAAATAAATACAATTATTGAAAGTTAAATTTATTGCAGAATTAAGTAATTTATTTACATCCACAATGTTACCACATTGCATAAAAACAGGTATAGTTATTAAAAATTGTTTGGTCCAGCTTAATTAACGTTTTTCATATAACGTTTCAAGCATGATAAAAACATAGCAAGGTAGAACCGTTCTCTCAATTTGTCGGCCATGATTTTTTTTGAAGTTTGCCAACATTTTAAAATCATATAAAAGTGAAAATAAAAAATTGAAATTGTTCGAAATTGTTGTTGCTTNAAATTAAATTGTTTGGAAACGTCAAGAATTTTAAAAGTGACTCTCAGCGGTTCTACCTTACTATATTTTTATCATGGTTTCAAGTACATATTTATTGCGCTTAACGGAAAATTTCAGATCTAAATTTCTACTTCTCTTAAAATTTAAAATATTTTATTTTTATATTCTTTAAATACATATGCATGAAATTTACCAGTTAAATCGTATACTATTAGTTTTTGCAGCGTTTTGATACCATATTCACTTTGCCGCCATTGCAATGCTTACCATTTGACGCACAACATGAACATCCGTGGTGGTATATGGCTCTATATCTTGCTTACCCATCGTGACATCGCAATCCATGCGCGCCACGCCGCCATTAATTGAAGGTGCACCTGCCACAGACTGTGCTGAAGCATGAAATTCTATACATTTTGTAACCGTCAACAATTCATCCAGATTGCTTACGCTAATACCTGCACCTGGCATTATGACGATGTCACGATGTTTGGCAATTAATTGTGCGAGATTTTCACTTCCCTCGATAGCAGTCGCACGAAAGCCGCTACTAAGTAAACGCTTAAAACCCAGCTCCTTTATTATAGTGACTGTTTCATGCATCAATTGCGGATTGGTAAGATCGAATGCTCGATGAAATGTGACTGGCATGCCTGCAGCATGTTCTA